GGGAAATACTTGCAAGAGCGAATGGCTCGTCCCTACTATATAACCATGGAAATTGGTATATAGTCCAACAGAAAGTTGGGATCTGACTTACATTCATAAGAATTTAGAATCTTGGTATTACTGAATTCTCTTTTGGTGCTGATTTGTCCAGTTTCTCAGAACGGTTGTTCTCGCATTAACTTGGGAGTCACCCTCGGCTTTCAAGACTTCTGCATGCCCTCCTTTTGAGATAAATCTCTCCAAAGTCTTCTTACTTGCTACCTGGAGCTCGGCTTATCTCTGCGACTTCAAATCATGTTTTGGCCACCACTACTTTCGGCCTCGTAGGTGGGCCCCGTTTCGATACTTTCTCCATGGGTTGTGTCAAAGCAGAGTGTGCCCTTTTGAACTGCCGATGTTCTTTATAGCCCTTGGAATCCCTTCATTCGATGCTGGTCCTTCGGAACTCTTCTTTTGCCTGGCTCCTCTCTGTCCGATTTCCCTGGAAGGTCGGGGTTGAGTGTTCCGTTTCGTCCTGGTGCTGCGTGGGACTTCGGGGATTATCTATCTTCCTCCTTTCTGGAGCATTGGTTGCTGGCATCGTATGTACGCTGCAGCGGGGTATGGTGGCTGATCTTGCATTATTGCTCCATCATGAGTTGAGACCACAGTGTGGTTACCGCAACTGGTTTGCAGTTTATCCTTCCTCATCCTTCTAGCACCCATATCTTTATATCAGTCCAAAGTTATTCTTCGTTATGTACTTTGGCCATGGGTCTGGTCTTCTTTGAAGTGGTTGGCCCTCTTGGCGAGTCTTTCTTCCGTAGCCGCTGGCATGAGTTTTCTGTATTTGTTTGTCTCTTCAGTTCAACGATCATCGGTCCTGCCACTATCACCAACAGGGCTGTCGCCCTCATCGTTTCCCTCGTCCGTTCACTGGCCATCTTTCTTTAGATTCCACGACGGCGCCAATATTTGTGGGTAACTTTTCTGGACCCCGCCCACCTACTATGCGGGCAAGAGTACCAGCGATAGATGGCTTCAGCAACCTGTAACAGAGAAAGGCTCGGCGGTGGCTCTTCCACGGGGGCACTCCGACGATCAATCGTCAGTTATATCTCTCAAAGATAATAATGCTAAACTCACAAGCTTGGAGTATATAACTGCGTACCTTAGACCCACTGGGGGTGTTCTATTTTATAGTTTAACTCCAATCCCAAGTCCTACTAAAAGCTTGGACTTCTATTGACTCAAATTCAATGTTCTTTGGACTCTTACAAGGATAAGATAAACTCCCTAGATTTTTTTAATCTTAGAAAAAGTTTTCTCTTTACTCATAGGGGACTCTTGTCCCACCCGCTTATCTCGGATTCCGATTATGCTTGAGATCACCCTCGCCTTGCCTTGCCTAGGGTACCTCGGCATAACTACCAGGACACGGGCACCTCGGCTGGACCGGTCGGCATCACATGCCACGTTTGGTTATTCAGAAAATACATCCCCCAAAATAGTTCAACATGATATAGATAGATACAGTGTTTTTGGAGTGTTAGTGCCCTTTCTAGTCTAAGGGATCCATTGGTTTTTTTTTACGTGTATTGGATTATGTTTGTGGAGCTTAGATCCACAAAGACCTCCATTATGTATGGATTGATATTTCATAGTTTGTCTATAAATATGGATCTTTGTGGGAATTCTATAGGGGTGGAAATTAAGAAAATTTACTTAAAGGCAACTGGGTCTGAGCAGGGAAGACGGTTGCATTGGGGTTGTTACCTTAAGTGGAAAAATAGGATTTGGGTATTGAGTTTTGTTTCTCATCATTGTTACTCTAAAGAGAGTGAAATTGGATATTTCTCACCAATGTAGAAATTTTTTGCCTGCACTTTCTGTATCATTTTTCTATTTATTGTGTACGGTTATGCTACTATATATTGAGATATGTAATAATTCCCAACATTGGACACATATAGTGCAAAGATGTCTATTTTTTTTATTGATATTGCTTCGTGAAATAATAAATAAAGACAAAGTAACATTTAAAAAAAAAAGAAAAAGAAATGCATATAACAGCATCATTATTAAACCAAAAACATAAATACAAATGGGTTAAAACGATTATTAATATGGCAAACACTTACCGACGATCAGCAAAGCAGCCTTCCGAAATACAAACTTGTCCATATTCACTAAACTTTTCATATCAAGCATACTCCAAACCATACCATACAACCTTCTCACACTAGTTAGCTGCAAAAGGCAACACAAGTACAATTTCTCAAAACAAGCCTTTTCGCAGGTTCGACCAGACTCATCTTGGCATATTCACTGAGAATACAATGAATTGGCAATTTCGCCCGGCATTTCTGAATCCTGAGGGGCATGCGCAATTCATTTGGTGTTCCTCCGCACCACCCAACCTGACCAATCACCCTGTCCCAACTCTTTTGCAATCTGGGTATGAACCCATTGGGCAGTAACAAACAAGCCTAAAAACATCGAAGCGACATATGCCGTAAGGGCCACCGTTGCAATAGGACATCAACAAGCATCGCGTGGCATTGTCATTAAATTTGAACCATTCGCCAAGCCTTTCATCAATGTGAGGAAGCTGAACGAGCCTGTCGGTTCACTACAAAACCTTGAAATAGCAGTATCATCCCGTTCTAAAGGTGTAGTAAACATTCGATTGCGGTTTGAATGATTGAAATGTTATCGAACCACGGCCTTGTGGGTAGAGGAGGGTCTCCACCGAAGCCAACACGGTCCAAGAAACCGCTCGATAGTTCACTGTTGATCTGGTAAAGGATATTTTGGGGAGGCCACGCGGTCTAGTTTGTACGTATTAGTCGCCAGAAGATGGATCTTGCAAAGGTTTTTCCACGATTTAGAAACCATTCTTGATTGGTTCTCAAGTTCCGTCCCACCTTCATGCCAGGTACTAAGTGTCGGCAATGGGGTATTCAAAACTTATGCCACGATAATTCGCCGCGGACCATTTTTCACGCCAAACGGTTGCCAGAGTAGCAAGTGCAGAATTGGATTGTTTGGTGAGGGTGTTGGTGGTGATGAATTTGGAGGAAGACCAACGGTGGTTGTTTTGGTTCGGTGATTGTATGATGTGCCCGGTGGTCGGTGATTGTGAAGGGCCTGATGAATCGTGATATTGGGCTTGTTTTTTGTTTGCCACCCAAAATGGTGATTGTATTGGGGACTTTTCTTAACCACTATTGCCGATATAGCGTTTATATGGATTTGTGGATTGGAAAGAAGCTAATTCGAAACCGCTTCGCCAGGAAGGAGACAAGGCAGTTTACCGTTGTCGGCGATGTGTTCGTTGGAGATAGGGTGTTCCGATCGCCATGGAGAGTTTGGTGAAGGAGGGAGAGAAGACGAGTGGAAAATGCAGATTGAAAGTGACGTGGAAAAACCATTCATTTGATGATCTCAATTACACCAAACCATAGCAAAACTTATTCGTTATTATCATGATTTTTATATAATGCTATTGGAATAGTTTTGGTACAGGACATATGGTTCTGGTTCTCGTGAAAGGTTTTATTGGGTACTCCTGGAAATACATACGTGGAGTTTTGCCTTATTATGATTGATGAAAATGTTAGGGTTAATATTTAATATTAGATGTGAAGAAATATGAAAAAGACATGTAAATGATAATAGTAAAAAAAATGACGTGGTGATACTCTAAGAATACCCTATAATTTTCCCTAATTCTCTTGTGTGATTATTCATTATTAACCACTATTTTTGCGTATTCAATTTAATATATATATATATATATTAAATCTCGGATAGACTTTAAAAAAATTGCAAATAAACTTTGAATGTCCGTATCAAAATTTAATATATGGAAATTGCTTTGAGCTCTTAAAAAATGTAGCCTTCTAAACTGGCATTTAAATTGTCTTTTTCTTCCCTTTATTATTTTGTCTTTTTCTGCTTCTTTTTTATTTTTATTTTTGTAAAAAGGGGTTGCCAAGCTCAGCAGCTTCTACTTAAAGCTTCTCAATCATAATACCGTTTAATATATATATATATATATATATATATCTAAAATCTCTAGTAAGGCTGCGAGGATACACACAACATAGGGTTAATAATGATAATCACATATAAAACTAGGAAAAATTATTGGGTATTCTTAGAGGAGAAAAGTTAGGGATCATAAAAAAAATTTCATAAAAATGATCATGAAAAATTTACAATCCTTGGATTATCTTGATTAGTGTGTGGTGCTTTATTCTAAGTGTAATCCAAGAGTCACTAAACTTTCATGATTATTTTCATGAAAAAATTTTCATGATACCTAGTATTGCTGTTCTTAGAATATCACATGTTTATATTTTTTTATTAATCATCATTCATCATGTCCTTTCATATATCTTTATCATCTAATATAAAATTATGGACTTTTCTTAAGTGTGCAACTTACACCTTACACTTACGTCTTTCTGTTTGCTATCATGTTTTATGTTTACACCTTTCATTTACACCTTTTGTGTTGATTGTATATGGTGTGCAACCTTAAGGGGTTGCACACCATAACAGTACCCTAAAATTATAAACCCTACATTTTTCATCAATCATAATACATGAAACTCCACGTGATAGTGTTCTAAGAGTACCCAATAACTTTCGAGAACCAGGACCATATGGTCCGTACCAAACGTATTCCAATAACATTATATAAAATCATGAATAAACAATAAGTTTGCATGTTTGGTGTAATTGAGATCATCAAATGATGGTTTTTCCACTCACTTTCATCTGCATTTTCACTCTTCTCCTCTCCCTCATCACCAAACTCTCCATGGCGATCGACACCCTATCACCAAACGAAACACTCGCCGACAACGGTAAACTGCTTGTCTCCTCTGGCGAAGCGTACGAATTAGGCTTCTTCAATCCACCATATTCCAACAAACGCTATATCGGCATATGGTTTAAGAATGTCCCAATACAAACACCCATTTGGGTGGCAAACAAAAACAACCCAATATCAGATTCATCAGGCCTCCTCACAATCACCACCACCGGCAACATCATCATCACCAACCAAACAACCACCGTTTGGTCTTCCTCAAATTCATCACCACCAACACCACCAAACAATCCAATCTTGCAGCTGCTAGACTCTGGCAACCTTGTGGTGAAAAATGGTCGCGGCGATTATCTGTGGCAAAGTTTTGATTACCCATGCGACACATTAGTACCTGGCATGAAGCTGGGACGGAACTTGAGAACCAATCAAGAATGGTTCTTAACATCGTGGAAAACCTTGCAAGATCCATCTTCTGGCGACTATACGTACAAACTAGACCGTCGTGGCCTCCCACAAATAGTCCTTTACCAAGGATCAACAGTGAACTATCGAGGCGGTTCTTGGGACGGTGTTGGCTTCGGTGGAGACCCTCCTCTACCCACAAAGGCCGTGGTCGATAACATCTTCATCATCAACGCAATCGATGTTTACTACACCTTTAAGAACAGGGATGATACTGCTATTTCAAGGTTTGTAGTGAACCAGACAGGCTCGCTTCAGCTCCTCACATGGAATGAAAGGCTTGGCGAATGGTTCAATTTAATGACAATGCAACGCGATGCTTGTGATGTCTATGCAACGTGTGGCCCTTACGGCATATGTCGCTTCGATGTTTTAGCTGCTTGTTACTGCCCAAATGGGTTCATACCCAGATTGCAACAGGAGTGGGACAGGGGTGATTGGTCAGGTGGGTGCGTGCGGAGGACACCAATGAATTGCAGTGCCCCTCAGGGATTCAGAAAATTGCCAGGGCTGAAATTGCCAGATTCATTGTATTTCTCAGTGAATATGACCAAGATGAGTCTGGTCGACTGCGAAGAGGCTTGTTTGAGAAATTGTACTTGTGTTGCTTTTGCACTAACTAGTGTGAGTGGTTGTATGGTATGGTTTGGAGAGTTGCTTGATATGAAAGAGTTTAGTGAATATGGACAAGATTTGTATCTTCGGATGGCTGCTTCTGATCTCGGTAAGTGTTTGCCATATTAATAATCGTTTTACCCATTTTGATTTATGTTTTTGGTTAATATAATGATGCTGTTATATGCATTTCTTTTTCTTTTTTTTTAAATGTTACTTTTGTCATTTTTATTTATTATTTCACGAGTCAATATCATATAAAAAAATAGACATCTTTGCACTAGTGATGTGTCAACAATGTTGGGATTATTACATATCTCAAATATATAGTAGCATAACCGTACACATAAAATAGAAAAATGTACAGAAAAGTTGCAGCAAAAATTTTTCTACATTGGTGAGAATGAAATTCACTCTCTTTAGAGTACAATGATGAGAACAAAAACTCAATACCAATATCCTATTTTTCCACTTAAGGGTAACTAAACCCCATGCCAACCGGCTTCCTGCTCAGACCCAGTGCCTTTAGTATTTTCTTAATTTCACCCCTATAGAATTCCCACAAATTCCATATTTATAGACAAACTATGAAAATATCAATCCATACATAATGGAGTCTTTGTGGATTCTAGACTCCACAAACTAATCCAAATACACGTAAAAAAACCAATGGATCCTGTAGACTAGAAGGCATACACTCAACAAACACGGTATCTATCTAACATGTTAACTATTTGTGGGGATGTATTTTCTGAATACCAACACGTGGCATGGTGATGCCGACGTGTCAGCCGAGGTGCCACGTGTCCTGGTAGTTATGCCGAGGTTACCTAGGCAAGGCAAGGCCGAGGTGATCTCCGAAGATATCGGAATCCGAGATAAGCGGGTAAGGGACAAGAGTCCTAGAGTAAAGAGAAGACTTTGCTAAGATAAAGATAAAGCTCTTAGGGAGTTTATCTTTATCCCTTGAAGAGTCCAAAGTTAACATTGAATTTGAGTCCATAGAAGTCAAGCTTTTAGTAGGACTTGGATTGAGTAAACTATAAAATAGAGACACCCCCGTGGGTCTAAGGTACGCAGTTATATACTCAAGCTTGTGAGTTTAGCACTTGATTATCTTTGAGAGATATACTGACTTGATCGTCGGAGTGCCCCCGGGTGGAAGAGCCACCGCCGGAGCCTTTTCTTTCTGTTACAGGTTTGCTGAAGCCATCTATTCTGCTGGTACTCTCCAGCTGATTACTAGGTGGGCAGTGTGGTCAGAAAATTACCCACACAATTTGGCGCCGTCTGTGGGAATCTTAGAAGAATAGATGGCCAGTGACGGACAGAGGGAAAACGATGAGGGCGACACTCCTGTTGGGAGTGGCAGACCGATTGATCTTGACTTTGAAGGAGACAACCATAATACAGAAACTCATGGCCAGGGCTACGGAGAGAAAGACGTCGGCCAAGAGGGCAACACTTCAAAGAAGACAGACCATGGCAAGTACTATAACGAAGATAACCTTTAGATATAAAGGGATAGGTGCCTACGAAGGGATGAGGAAGTAAAAGACTTGGCAAACAAGTTGGCGGACCTACAGTCGGTCGTCAACTTCATGATGCAAAATAATGTCATGCAGCCACCATACCCGCTGCAGGATACACCGATGCCAGCAACCAATGCCCAGAAAGGAGGAAGATAGATAATCCCCGAAGTCCCCCAGCACACCAGGAGCGGAAGACACTCACACCGACCTTCCAGGGAAATCGGACGAGAGGAGCCAAGGCAAGAAGAGTCCCGAAGGACACATCGAATGAAGGATCCAGGGCATAAAGAACATCGGCATGTTCAAGGGCAGGCACTCTGCTTTGACACAACCCATGGAGAAAGATCGAAACGGGCCCACTACGAGGCCGAAAGTAGTGTGCCAAAAAGATTGAAGTCCAGAGATAGCCGAGCTCCAGGTAGGAGTAAAGAAGACTTGAGAGATTATCTCAAAAGGAGGCAGCAGAATGTTGAAGCCGAGGTGACATCCCCAGTTATGCCGAGAACACCGTTCTTGGTAGAACTGGACAAATTCGAAGCACCAAAGAGATTCAGTATACCAAGATTCTAAATTTATGATGGTAAGTCAGATCCCAACTTTCATGTTGGACTATACCTAAATTCCATGGTGTTATATAGTGGGAACGAGCCATTGCTCTGCAAAGTATTCCCCTCATCCTTTGGGGAAATTGCATCTGATTGGTTCCACAAACTACTGAAGGGAAGCGTAAAGACGTGGGAAGGCCTGGCCGAGATGTTTGTGGCCAGGTTTGTAACGAACAAACTACAGCCCTTGAGGGTCGACGCCCTGATGGCTTTAAGAATCACCAAGGAAGAAGGCCATAGGGCCTACGCGAAGAGGTACTACGACATATTCAATCGAATACCCGAATGCAACCAAGAAGTGGCGGTCGTATCTTTCAAGAATGACCTGAAAGATGACTGTCCACTACGGAAGTCTTTGGCAAAAATATTGCCAAAAAGCATGGAAGAACTCATGGCGAGAATCGAAAAGTACGCCAGAGCCGAGGAAGATACGTCGGGAAACAAAGAGATAAAGTAGGAGAAGGGAAACAGCTCGCCGAAGCGAGGCCGAGGTACCAACGGGCCGACCAAACAAGAAACAGAATTGAAGGGTAAACAAGCAGTGACGACGGTGTTCCGAATCCCTATCCATAAAGTCCTGGACCAAATACGAAATCAAACCTATTTCAGGGCACCGGCAAGAGCACCAGGGGAATTTATGGGAAGAAATGTTGGTAGGCGCTGTGCTTACCATAATGAAAAAGGACACCCAACTCAGGGTTGCAGAGCCTTAAAAGCACACTTAGAAGACCTAGTAAGGCAAGGCCATCTGAGGGACCTTGTTGACGAGGCCAGGACAAGAGAAGAACAAGCAAGATTGCCTCAAGCACCAACAGCACCGCCTCCCCCAGCACAGCAACCACAGGCAGGAAGACCACGGGTGGTTAATGTAATCCACTCAAAGGTGAACGAAAGCGACATTCGGGGAAAAACCCAAAGAGTAAAACACCTACAGCACGTGAACCAGGTCGGATACAAAGGACCTCGGCCTGAAGAATGCCAAGGACTGATGATAACTTTCACTGAAGCCGACCTGGAGTTGGTCCAACATCCGCATAATGATGCCTTGGTAGTATCCCTCCAGGTTGGGGAATGCCAAGTAAAACGCATCTTGATAGATCAAGGCAACTCTTGTGACATCATGTACGTCAGATGTTACAAGGAGCTGGGCCTTCACCCTGACGACCTGGAACAATCCAGCAACCCTATGGTCGGCTTCAATGGAACGCCGACATGGCCACTGGGCGCAGCAAGCGTGGAAGTACAAGCTGGTACTAAAAAGATCAAGACAGAATTTATGGTGATTGACACACCCTCGCCATATAACATCATCTTGAGGAGACCATGGTTGCATGCAATGGGGGCAATTCCCTCAACACTGCATCAACTACTACAGTTCCCAACAGAGCATGGGATTGAAGAAGTTAGAGGAGATCAACTGCAGGCAAAAACTTGCTCCATGGCAGCAATGAAGACTACTTGCAGCATTCAAAAGCCAAAAGAGGCAGAGATTGAAGACGAGGACATGGAGGTCCTAGAAGATGTCGGCAAGAAGCCGACCGAAAAAAGTCAAGAGACACTAAAGAAAATCCTTGTCCAGGAGGGTGACGAAGAACGCTTCTTTCTTCTCGACTCAGGCTTAGCCGAAGAAGAGGAAAGAGAACTGAAAGATTTTTTAAGAGCCAACATTGAGGTGTTCGCCTGGACACTTTACGAGATTCTCGGAATTGACCCCGAGGTCACTTGCCACAGACTGAATGTCAACAGGTCGGCAAAACCTGTGATTCAACGAGCCAGAAGACCGACGTTGATGCACGTCGAAGCAGTAGAAGAAGAAGTAGATAGACTTCTGGAGGCCAGGGCCATCCGAGAAGTTCACTACCCAACTTGGCTATCCAACACAGTAGTGGTGAAGAAGAAGAACGGCAAATGGAGGGTTTGTGTAGACTTTACCAGCCTCAACAAAGCTTGCCCCAAAGACAGCTTTCCTCTGCCCAAGATCGACCAGCTAGTAGATGCAACTTCAGGGCATGAAAGGATGATTTTTTTGGATGCATACAGAGGGTACCACCAGATTGCCATGTACCCTCCAGACGAGGAGAAAACCGCGTTCATCACTCCTAAAGGACTATACTGTTACAAGGTAATGCCTTTTGGGTTGAAAAACGCAGGAGCGACTTACCAAAGGTTAGTAACAAAAATGTTCAAGCACCTGATTGGTAAAACGGTAGAAGTCTACATCGATGACATGGTCATGAAGACCAAGGAATCTAAGGGTCATCTTTCTGACCTAAAAGAGGTCTTTGATATACTAAAAACATATCGGCTCCGACTCAACGCGTCAAAGTGCGTGTTTGGAGTTGGATCAGGTAAGTTTTTAGGGTATTTGGTAATGAGAAAGGGCATTGAGTCCAGCCCAGACCAAATCAAGGCCATCCTAGAGCTGCAGAGCCCGACGTCGGCAAAACAGGTTCAAATGCTTACCGAAAGGGCCGCAGCCCTAAACAGATTCATCAGCAAAAGCTCAGATAAATGCAGACCCTTCTTCAACTTGGTGAAAAAAGCCACAGACTTTCTGTGGACAGAAGAATGCGAAGCCGCTTTAACCGACCTAAAGAAGTACTTGACCACGACTCCGGTTCTTTCCAATCCAGAACCAAGGGAAGAACTATATTTGTACTTGCCAGTTTCAGAACACGCAGTCAGTGCAGTACTAATCCGAGAAGAAAAAGGGGAGCAAAAGGCTGTTTACTATGTAAGCAAAACTCTGGCCAGCGTAGAAACAAGGTATCTACCACTAGAGAAATTAATGCTAGCCTTAGTAATGGCTTCAAAGAAGCTGAACCATTACTTTCAGGCACATAAAATTGTGGTCTTAACAGAGCATCCATTGAAGTCCTTATTACAGCAAGGAGACTTAACAGGAAGGATAGCAAGATGGGTCGTAGCCCTAGGTCAGTATGATCTGGAGTTTAGGCCGAGAACAGCGATTA